TTGCTATGATCCCCCCTTGAATCTTTCCTGTATCTCTGAGAAGTCCATGGCCTTCAGTTTGGGAACCCTTGCCTTAATGCAGTTAATAGTAATACAGTATGATAGTCCAAAAGCCAGGTTTTTTAAATTGTGTGATCTTCCATAATAATAATTGTTAATCCATTCATTTCTATACTTCATATTTAGTCATCAAAAATACATGGTTGATGAAAACACTTAAATTAAAAAGTATGGGTTACTTGTGTATGAATATTTTTACCATGTTTTCTTATGTATTGATTTTTTTTATTTGATAGTGAGTGTCATATTGCATGTTTTGGATGGGAATTTATTTAGTAAAGTTTGGCTTTCAAGCACCAGTACCAGCTTTAAATTTATTTTAATAAATTTCTTTTCAAAACTTGTAATCAAAAATGTATGTTTTTACAAAAGTGTAATGTGAATGCTTTGAAAAACTAACATTATAAGATAAACTTCAAGACAGAATCACAACAATTATTTTGACCATAGTATTGGTTCAGTGCTTTCAATGTGTTCTTACTCTGTAAAGCATTTGTTGTTGGCAATAAATATATGTTGGTTACTTTTGATGAGTGCTAAAAGAACCATTTAGATTTACATCTATTAATGTCTAATAAAATAATTGATTAATCAAAATTATACATGAATTGACTAATATCACAAACATTATTTAGGTAATAAAAATTGGTTTTTTGTATTATAACTATTTTCAATTATACAAACTACAAAAGTAATCAAAATATTGCTAATGCTCTTTTGATGTCTCTTTATTATTTTTCGATTACTTCAAGCTTAATCGATTGGTATTCCGACTCACAAAATTATAAACTAATAAAAGTGAATGTTTTCAATTATTGTGTGGGAATAATAGATTAGTTGGATGTAATGATTAATCAGCCTTATGATTAGTTGATTAACATGCTCCACTGATTATTTACTTTTACCCTTTCATATCATTTTCCTCACCTCGTTATATAGATACTTTCCATCAAAGTGCTCATTGCATTTCGCTCAGTCTACTGTAATAGCATGCTGAATATTGAAATTATAATAGTAATAATATAAACTAAAATATATTTATCTTAGTATGCATCATTTTAACAAGTCAATTTGGACTTAACTAAAAGCACCTCAGTCCCCAACTTTTGTTCAGACTTATTAGTGAATAAGGTCTGAATGATTTTAGTTCATAAATATGCTGGACATTCTAATTATCTTGCCAGGTTTGGATAGTATTTTTTTCTAATTTAGAATTAAATTTTTCTATTTTTGGACACTGGAAGGGGATTCATTTCAAATACAAACAAAATTCTTTGTAATTATTTCGTGTTTCTCCCACTTACATGTGCATATTCAATCACATAGTCAACTGTCTTCTGTTGGATTGGGAAAAAAATTCACCGAGATTATGTATTTTTATCGCATGTGAAGTGATATAAAGAATTAGTGAATATATTTTAGACAGAATAAAGTTTTTTTTGTAACTACCATAAATGGAAGATCTTTCTAGAGCATGCTAATGTGAATGAGTCAAAAATATTAGGTAAAATTCAACAAACATAAAATAGATTTAGTATAGTTTAAATAATGTGTTTATTTATTTATTGTCTGGATCTAGTATTTTTCTTATGTGTACAGTGCTTGTGATTTTTCATGGATAACTGTTCGTATAACTAAATATTTACTTGTTGTTGTAGTAATTACTTTTTTATGACAAAGTACACATTAATCTTTTGACCAATTATAATTTTTTTAACAAGTTTTTACGCTTATGTGACAAAGGTTGGATGGTTTTAACACTTGCCACATGAGTCATTCTGGAATGGTTTGGGTTGTTTTGATTAGACAAAAAGAAGACAGTTGACCCTAATTTTTGAGGTCTAGGTCACTGGACATGACCTGTAACCTGACCCGAGACTATAAGAGCCAACATGCCGATGTAAAGTTAAACAATGTAACAATAAATCATGCTTAAAATGTGCTAGATGTGGTTATGAATGTAATGGTTTAAGTATAGCAGTTAATAAACTGTGGGTCCAGGTCCAATCGATTTGACATACCAGCTGAATTGGAGATTTGTCAATTTATTACTGCATTATGTAATATCAGTTAATCATAAGTTTTTCAATGTTACTAAAGTTACCTGGCAATGTGGGAACTTATAACATTTTTGTAAATCATTTATATACTGTACACGCTGAACATGTATTATGATATGTTTAATTTTCAGTGGACGTGACAGTCTACCATAGAGGTTTCCATGGAGATCTCAATGAAACATTTCTTATTGGAAATGTAGATGAAGAGGGAAGAAGACTTGTTCAAGTTACTCATGAGTCACTCATGAAAGCAATAGAAATAGGTGAGTAATGTAATGGGATTAAAACCTAAAGGATTTATCTCCTTGAACAATTAATGTTCCAGATGACTGTCAAAATCTTTGTAATAAAAAAAAAGCACATTTTAAATGTGTACACATTTAGATAAAAATTAGTATAATAAAATATGGTTAGAACCTATAATTTCTTTTAGAATCTAAAATACAATCTTACAAGATCGTTGTAAACCTTTATATTGAATGTTAAAATTTTTACATGGTATCTTGTAAAATTTCACAGAATTATGTTGATAATTCAACAAAATCTAGATGATCATAAGAAGTCAACAGGATCCCAAAACTTCCATTTGTAACCATGATGATGATGATTGATTATTATTATTATTTTAATACAAGGTCATTATCTTTTTATAAAATGACAGGTGTCAGAATCCTACATGGAGATATATTGTCAAAAAATAAAAGATATGAATTAGAAATTTTAATAAAAATCTTTAATTTTTCCATAGTCTCATATCTTTCCAATTTCTAATACAGTTATCCCTTGTCATTTGCAGTTTAGAGTATTCACGTTATAGCTGCAGTCAACCCCCAAAACTAGTGCGACTCTTGCATTGTCCTGCACTGCCAATCCTGTGCTCTTGCACCATGCGCCCCATGTATTTTTAATCTTTGTTCAACCACAGTATTTCTGTGCAGACCCTCCCATGTAACCTCTGCCTGCTTCATCTATTGCCACTGCTACCTCTGTTACAAATGGTATTCACAGTTTTAGCATTCGTGGCAGTTTCTAGAACTTATCCCCCACAAATGGCAAGGGGTGACTGTATCACACAACACTTGAGTGGATTTGTATTTTATCTATGAAGAACCTTACATTATATTTTTATTTTTGAATTAGGTTCATTATCAATATAATTGCAAGTTTACCAAGAACCTTGATTTAAACTTATTTTACAGATCTCACTGACTTTAAGATCGATATACACAGATGATAATATTAAAACCAAAGCATTCCCACAAAATGCCACTGGTTTTAAGGTAAAGAATGTTTCTTGCTGCAGCACCACAAGAGAGAAAGGAGTATTGGTTAGTAGATAACTGTGAAATCACTCTTCTGGGTCAGGAGTGGCCTAGTAATTAGTGCTAGACTATGGTTTGGAAGGTCTGAACTCAAGCTGGGGAGCACCACTGAACATGCTTCACATTTTTAGCTGTGCGAGCACTTAGCCATGCCAGGAAATCTCACTGATCAGTTAGACATAGACATATAGGTGACAGGTACTACTGACTGATTGCTCTGACTAGGATCAGCAGTTTTAATTTAGGGGTGGCTATATGTAGACATAGGGCACTCTGGACTGGACACTGTTTATATAATCCATGTATTGCCACTCAGGTGAAGATATCAGACACAGAGGTCACTTCTATCCTTCTCTATGTATTGGTTTTCTACTAAAACGTTGAGGATTTATTAAGTAAAAAGTATCCCACATCCTATTATTGTTATATTAACAGTATCAGGAATTACTTATATTGGTCCACAAGTGAAAACAAGTTACCTTGACTGGGACCTTAACCCTATAACCCCAGGTCCTCTATCGGAGAGTAGGTGATATTGCTCTTGTCATATTTCATTACAAAATAAAACTAGTGGGTGAAATTGTTTGAAATTTAATAAGAATTTTCTTAAAAGTATGTTGTTTAAAATAAAATATTTAATTTTGAATTTTGATTTTTTTTCAGCTTTTTCTAATAAAAATCCATTATTTAATGTGGTTATTTGTACTCAGACTCTGAATAGTTCACAAGATAGTTCATTAGCAAAAGCACATTCTTATACATAAAGATTCAACTGGTTTACGCTTTGTTGCTCATCGCTGTGGCAAGTTATAATGTTCACTCACAATAATAGAAAAATTACCTGATGTTGGAAAAACTTAAGTCATTAAAATATAAATATATAGCTTTCTTTCAAAAAATTCTGAGTACTAAAAATTAAATCCAAACCTTAAAAATTTTCATAATAAAACTTTTAAATGATTAAAATTTTGATACGAACAAAAGACTTCAAACAATATCAAAATGAACATGCAAAAACTTGACTCAGAAAGCTGGGGCAGAACTTAAAAATTAATAATTAAAACATTGGCCATTTTTTTTTATCAACAATATTTTAGTTAATAAATTTATTATTTTGTATTTAACATCAATCTTGGATTGAATGTTTTTGCCCTTGACAAATTGATATAATTTGGTTTTATACTAGGGTGAATAGTACCAAGATGTATTAGTTCAGATTTGGGCTCCCACTTTTACATTTTATTGCATACTCTTAAGAATGTAACTGTTAAGTACACCCATTGCATTTTAGTTAAAGATAACAGAAGCTTTCACGTTAGGCTTTATTGGGTGATTTCCTCACTAAAGTACCTTTCATGTAGCTTTATTTTTTTATTGTTTTCAATATGTGTATTTTATGTGTATGAGGTGTTTTGAGTGTATGTTTATAACATGACAATAGTAAAAAAAAAGTTTTACTGAAGTGGAACAAACCATTGAAATTATAAGAGTATTTAATATTTTCTGTATTTTTAAATGTAATAATACCATAAAAACTGAATATTTAAAATTTTAGTTAGTTATATCAACTTTTTTTTTGTTATACAGAAAATCTCATAATTTCACAAACAAAAAATGTTTGTTTGAAACTTTCAATTTTGAAATTTTAGGCAATTAAACTTCAATAATCCTTATGAGCGTGACAGTAATATTTTGTTTTGTTACTTCTGCTGATGAGCTCTGTACGATTGTTAGTTTTTTCTCATCAAGTTAATTTTTTTTTCTAGTTGGTAGGTTGAACTTGATGAGAAAAAAACTAACAATTGTACAGAGAGCTTATCAGAACACTTGGAGCTGTATGAAAAATTTTTTTCTAGTTGGTAGGTTATTTCTTACAGCTGTAAATACTGATATGCTCTCTAAATAGTTCTTACTTTGTTTTCTCTACAAACAATCTTGTATATATATATATACTTGGTGTTTAATTTTCCACCATTGTCTTTATATGCTGTAGTGAAACCAGGAGTTAAGTACAGAGAAATAGGTAATGTAATTCAGAAACATGTACAAGCACATGGGTTCTCAGTAGTAAGAAGTTTCTGTGGACATGGTATACACAGGTAAGAAGAAGCTCACTACTAGTTAGTAGTGTATTGTTTTATCAAGTATTGTTTCAATTGAAAGCTACTAGGCAGTGGTGTAATCATAACATGTATTTTTCAACAATTTTTCTATAGTTATGTTTTAAAATAATTCACACATGTGACTGTATAACAGTTGACCATTTCTTGTTTTCCCATCATACATTTTATTTTCTACCTGCTTAACAGCAGTTTTGAATTATGTATCATTATATTTCATTGTTGTTGTTGTTTTTAACTTAGATTGTGACTTACTGCCTGAGTGTTCTGGTCAAAAGTTCTTAATAATAATTTTGTTTTATACCAACTAGCTATTCTTTTATCATACTTAGCTAATTTCTCATTTTTACTTAACTTGACTGTTTTTTCTTATACATTCCTCTACTTAATGTTTTTAAGAACTCTTAAATTGGAATTGTGTTTAGTGGTTGAGGTATTATGTAGTTTTATTTATCCAAACATTACTACCATAATACCCAAGACACACAACAGTTTTGTTGTTTTTCTTCGGTTAAAATTCTTTCCCGTTTTATAGGTTATTTCATACAGCTCCAAGTGTTCCTCATTATTTTTTCCTGTTTTATAGGTTATTTCATACAGCTCCAAGTGTTCCTCATTATTTTTTCTTGTTTTATAGGTTATTTCATACAGCTCCAAGTGTTCCTCATTATTCAAGTGAGTATATGATTATTATTTTACATTTAACACTTTAAAACTAGAATTTTTACTTATTGTTAATTCTCTTGTTGGATGTGTACTTTTTGAGTTTTGAAGTTTCATTATGATGTATTAATAGGAAAAGAAATGGTTCCCAAAATATAACAAAAAATACGCTATAACTTTCCCCATTTAACACTAAATCTCTTGGACTTGAACAAAGCTAGAAATTGTTCCTTAGTGCTAGTTTTCCCTGTTTAATTAAAAACTCATTTTTCGAAGTACTGACTAACAGGCAATGCTTTTCTTTCTTTTGTTTTTGGGGGGGGATTTTACGTAGTTTCTCATATTAGCATCATGTGCAAGAGATACAGTAAACATGACTACCCTCATTTCAACCTTCTCAATTTAAAACACTTTTTCAGTAAAGAATCTACCAATTTTTACTTATTCCTTATTTAGTGACCTGCTGTAGGATTTCAGAGAAATACAAGAAAATACATCCTTTAAGAAGTTTCTTAAGAATATTTACAAACAACTGCTTCATCCTTTGATCAACCAATGTCATTAACATTAACTACAGTTCAGTTGCAATAACCAGTTAGAAAAAAATAAGGACCAATCTTTTTTTTTATCTTCTCACATTTTCATGGCTGATCAACAAGACAAACATCATCATTCTAAAAGTTACTTTTTCTACCCTAAAATAAAAATAAAATGAAGATGGAATATACTTTCATAAATTACTAAACTGGTTTCCATGCTTTAGAAATTGATTTCTCTCTCTTTCAGGTTAGTTGGAGTTTATTGGTCATTTCAACTCTTAATCTCTTCTGTTCCACCTTTTCCCAGGAAATTAACAATTATTATGGTTCACATCTTCCCAAATACATCTTCTGTTTTCATGACTGGTAGTTACAGGAAATTTGTGATTAGATTTATTGAGCAAGTTTGACATGATGTCCATTTTCTCTGTACTTAATATTACGATTTCCAACCTGGCAGTAGCTTACGTGTGGGAGTTTTTTCATGTTTACTTTCACATAGTTTAAGTTTAAAATTGGTATAAAAAGAACTCTCTATAAATATATCAGGTATTTTTTATGATTTTTTTTATTAAAAGCTCATTTACTGTGCATCATTAAAATATAGCAAATAGTTTTAAATTTACTCATCAAAATTAGTTTTGCTCTGATATAAACATCTGTTTTCAATTTTTTATTTTCCAGAGAACAAAGCAGTAGGCATAATGAAAGCTGGACACTGTTTCACAATAGAACCTATGATATCGGAAGGTAGGTGTTTAAGTGATAAATTATCATACTTCAGTCTCCTAGCAGTTATTGTAATGACATTACTGGAAAGCACAAGACAGAGGTATTTCTGTTTTTTGGTGGAAATCCACTTTTTAAAAAATTGTAAAATCTGGGGTTTGTGCAGATTCAGTGTGAAAATAGGAGTTAATCACACAGGCCTGCAAATTTAAACTTCATAAAAGTTGTTTTGTTTTTAACACAATTCAGTTATGCAGATTTCAAAAATAATATTAATTTTTTTCTATCACCTAAGGATTTTTTTACAAATTGGGAATAAAAACAACTCTTACTTAGATCAAATTATTATTTCGTTTACCACAATGAACATTTTTTTAGTATTATATTTGTTAACAAAAATACAAACAAACTGAAGAAAAGGGAAGAACGTTGATGTCAAATGAATATGCATCCTCATTCTGATTTTTTTGTGTGAAATCTACATCTTTTCGTCTCAAAACTACGTGTTGTGGTCTTTCTTTTATATATTGCGTCTAGAGGATCTTGCTTCAATGACCACCAGTAAACAGCCATCATGCTGATGTTCCACCTTCCTCGATACCTCCTCTCTCTTTCCCTGATGTATTGATGAAACCTTTTCCCTGGTTCTTTGCTGACAGCACCGAGATTTTCAGGGAAATAGTCATTATGTTAGTGTAAGAAATGAACTCTTAAGCTCATATTACAACCCAACTCTTTTAATTTATCAAGCATGTTATTGACAATATTTTCGTAAATTTGGGTCTTTGTTGTTTCCTAAACATTTGTCAATAACATATTTAAAGGCAGTCCATGTTTCTTTTTCAACTTTCCTCATTGTTCTTTCGAACTGTTTATCTGAAGTCAATTTCCTAATCTGGGGCCCAACAAAAATCCCTTCTTTAACTTTTGCTTCTGAAAGAGCTGGGAATTGCCCACATAGATACTTGAAACAGTTGCCATCTTTGTCTAAGTCCTTTAAAAACTGCTTCATCAAGTCCAGTTTTATGTGAAGTGGAGGTAATAGGACTTTCTTTGTGTCTATGCTTTTTTGGACGAATTCTGTAATGTTTTGCATTTGTTTTTTTACAACAAATTTACCACAAATATAACAGAATGTGTTTGGGTCATTTACACAACCTCTTGTCAAAGTGCATGCACAAACATATACTATCTAGAAGTGACATGTCATGCAGCCTGTTAACCATTTATATATTTGTGGTGTGTTTCTCTTGGGTTCTAAAATGATTGCTAAGACTCTCACATCGCAATTAGTCTAGAGAAATCTATAGCCAGTGGTTGTCAACATTTTAGCATAACAAAATGTGACCCAATTTCAATGAAAATGATTCACTTATGTAAAAGTACATATGACGTTTTGTGAAAAATCTGTATGTGGTGGATAAAAATGGATATTATTTTCAGATTCAGTGCACAGCAATTACTGTAGAACATGTAAACATTTCAATACAATAAAACCATCACAGGCCTGTGTATTTGATCCCTATTTAGAAGACACAGTAAATGAGTAGTATTATAGGTAAATTTATATTTAAACATTCCAAATCTAGAATACTTTGCCAGTATGAAAAATTAACTATTAAACATGATGATGAACCACCACTTGTTTTTACTGTGGTGGTTCGATGAAGTAATAGAATATTTCAAGCAATATTTGACTTCCATAATCTAAACTAAAACCACTTGTTTTTACTGTGGTGGTTTGATGAAGTAATAGAATATTTCAAGCAATATTTGACTTCCATAATCTAAACTAAAACCACTTGTTTTTACTGTGGCAGTTCGATGAAGTAATAGAATATTTCAAGCAATATTTGACTTCCATAATCTAAACTAAAACCACTTGTTTTTACTGTGGCAGTTCGATGAAGTAATAGAATATTTCAAGCAATATTTGACTTCCATAATCTAAACTAAAACCACTTGTTTTTACTGTGGTGGTTCGATGATGTAATAGAATATTTCAAGCAATATTTGACTTCCATAATCTAAACTAAAACAGTTGTGTTACCTTATAATTCATATACTGCGCCAAAGAATGCGTGTCTTCGTATGGCTCATTTAAACACCAATATATTAGTGTTTCACGCATGAAAAAGGAAAACAAACACATTACATTACTTCCATGACTAGTGGGGGACTTTTTAGTGGCTAATAATGTTCCACCTTCAATTCAACAAATTCTTAACGTTGGTTTCATGTACAGTTAGTTAGGTGTTGCATTTTATTGTCAAAGCAGTTACAAGTGATAAGGTTATCCCGTACAATATTTCTCGGTTATCTCTACAGTAGTTACGTTTTATAATGGTATCGTATCATCATTAGTATAAAATGCATTGTTCATCAATGCCACCAAGATCTTTTAATGCTACATCTGATGGACCAGCAAGTGGAAAATATTGGCTGAAATAAAAGAAAAATTTATTATCTAGAGCAGTGATTTTGAATGTGGGGCGCACACCCCACAGGGGGGAAATTTGAAAATGATACAATATAAAAAAAATTACATTATATTATTATATCTTTTCAACACCATATTTGTTTTATATTAAGGGGGCATCAAATGTTTTGAGGTGTCGAGGTGGGACATGAAGCAAAAAAAAGGTTAAGAACAACTTATCTAGAGTAAAGGTAGTTTTTTCTAACTTTATTACCAAAAGATCTTTTGTATATATTTGTGCCCCTCCCCTCATAAGAATGTTCTTTAATGTTTGAAGCTTAATGTATTTTTAAAACTTAGTCCAACTTCAAGTGTTTTAAAATATTGTTAAATCTGTATTTTTTTGTGCTTGTATATCATTATAGTGAATAACATAGCGTTTCTGTGGAACTAATTAATTTCAGACAACTACAATTAGTAGATTAGTTAGCTATGTTGTAGATGGGTTAAGTATTACCTCTCTTTACTGAAGTTTTTTTATGTAATTAAAACTCGTCTGGTGCTGGTAATTGTTTTTTGTTTCCTGCTGTTTTATTAAACATTTTATTTTGCTCAGCCAATGTCTCATTTTTACTTAACTTGACTGTTTTTAGTTTTATACAGTCCTCTAGTTATTGATTTAAAAACTCTTAAATTGGAATTATGATTTTCTTTTGTTTACTATGTCCCTTAAACAGAACCCTACTTGAAGCAGTTGTTTCATCATGGTGAACTCACTCTAAGGTTTTTCTCACGCTCTTTTGGTAACTTGCCCAACCTAATGGATGTGCTTTTCCACTCAAAATATGTGATGCATATTAAACATAACAGTCGGGAGAAAGAACATTGTGATCCACATACCTTTCTTTGATAGCAGGATGTTACGGTCTAAGTTACATCAACTTAGTAAAATCAAATAGTGATAAACTTAAATTGTTTGAATCTTGAAGTTGTAACTTTTAATTTCGCATTTCTTGTAAAATCTAGAAAAAAATGGTTGAAAAATTAGGAAATTATGAATAGTAGGTATCAAAAGAAAAGAAACCATTTTAGTGGTTCCTTTGTTTTTATTTGATATTTTGATGGTTTAGGTGCATATAGTGTGACAATTATTCAGTAGTGTTGTTTTGTTTTTTTACAGTTTAATAAGTTTTACTTTCTGTTTCTAGCCATGCAATTTTATAGATTTAACATTAGTTTATATTGGATTTGCAACTTGTTAACTTTACTGGTTGTTGGATTCACCACAACAGCTAAAAATTACGAGTATTTGAAACACAAATTTTTTTTTATTATTATTCCTTTTTTTTTCTGGTGTGTGTTGATTCTTTGTCTCAGCTGATTTAATGGAGGTCATTTTATTACGATTAACTAGGAACATGGAGAGATTTGCTATGGCCAGATGACTGGACAGCTGTTACTCAGGATGGTAAACGTTCTGCCCAGTTTGAGCAGACCTTGTTGGTTACAGACTCTGGTTGTGAAATCCTGACCCAGCGGAGGGAAAAAGGTGGACAACCACACTTCATGGATAAGTGACACATCTAAATTTCTAGCTTGTATGGTCTTTAAATGCCTTAGAGTTGACTTTTTTCTTCTGTGTGAGTGTGTGTTTAAATGCCATTTCTGCTGTATTTTAGAATATACTAAATATAAAGGTAGATCTTGGTTTATGAATCTGTTGATTAAATTTTTGTCTTAGAAACAGGATTTTGATTTAAATTATCCCAACACAGTGTTAAAACTTACACATATATTTATAATAATAAAATTATATCTCTCATATTTTGGTAATAATCACATACAAGGTATTCAGTCACTGTTAAGAAATTTGAACAGGAACTACACAAAATTATGATGAGTACAAGAATGAACACACAACCATAAAAACATTTCACCATCACAGATATATAAAATATCAAAGCTTGTCGTTCCGTAAAAGTACCTAAATGAAGAAAGTATGTAGATGACACAGTGTCATGTTCTTAGTTTTGCAAAGTGCCTTCTGTAAAACATTATTTGTATACCAAGTGGAGTAGCTATCTTCTATAATCAGTAACTTATTTTAATAGTAAATCCTATACTAATTAAAGCTTACAGCTTTTTATGCACGTCCAGCTAACTCCCCCACTGGTTGGCACACTTGGGGTGGATCCTTATCTGTATACTTTAATTTTGTGTTCCTGCTCCCCTCTCCCATGTATCTCGGGGGGGGGGGGGTACCATGTTTGAAACTTTATTCATTCTCCCACTCTCAAGCTAAGAAGTCCAAACTTGGAATATTTGCTCAGGTATCATAAGCAGGTGTCCTAATGTTGTTTTTTCAGGTATTAACCATTTCGAAATGGGTCACGGGTAAAAGGCCACGTCATCTCACATTCAAAATTTTATTAAACTACTATTTCATGAATTTATGTCAATAAATTTGGTATCAAACTGTAGATTATAATTCAAATTTTAGTATTATACATTACTAAACTTTTTAATTTAAAAGTAAATATTAAAAACACAGATAAACATCGTGGTATGTTGAATGCAGCACTGGTTCAAATTAGATGTTTAAATCAAAATACTAAGTCTATAAAGATTATTTTATATCTTTAAACATAAAGATTATTTTAGCATACATGCTAAAAAAGACAAAAAATATCAGTATATTAGTAGTAAACCTGCAAAAAAAACAATATATATTAATATTAAAGCTGCATAAAAATATCAGTATCTTAGTAGTAAAATCACATGCCTTGTGCATCCAGGAAATATGCAAAATTAAAAACACAATCTGATAAAAACTAATGATAATATTATTTGCTTTTTTAATATTCTTATTTCCCAAATACCTTGGATATGCAATATTAAGTAATTCCATAAAACTATATATAATATGCCTTGTATTCTTCCAAATGGAAAAAAAATTCAAGTAATCAAAGTCCATATAATAGTTAAAAAATACAGAGAAGGAAAGTTCAGCAAAAATTATATACTTATAAACAAGATGTAAAGAAAATGATTGGGTATATCGAATCTTGATAAATTTGACAGTTTAAGGGAAAACCTGCAGAAATGTGCAAGAACAATCTAAAATTACAATTAGATTTTTTTTACTGACAGTGATAAAAAAAATGTAGGTTCCCCCCCTTTTTACACTATCAAAAATTAATAATATCCAGGTACATTTGAGTGGTGAATCTAAGAATAGGAAACTGATGACTGAACAAGAAAAACATACTGTTACATTGGTGTGATAGACCTTTACAACTGAACGTTTTTTTATAACGCATAGATGAAACATAATCTCAGCTCTCTAGATGATTTATATCTAGACAGCAGTCTTCTTTACCTCAACTGAGAGATAACCCAAATAAACTAAATTTAATGAAAGCAGTTTGTGTGATTTAATTCCCACGAAAAATGATTTTCACAAGAATTACTCGAGAGATGTAAACACAGTTAACTCTATGTGCACATAAGAGTGTCTAAGTACACATGCCATAACCTTTTACAGAGTGCCGGTGAACATTTTGTGTAGATACACATAGTAAACTTGAAATTATAGTCAACATTCCTTCGCCAATACGGGGTCGGCCCATCACGCCATGTACATTCAATTCATGGATAACCCTGTATTGTAAACTAACCTTATTTTGCTGATGAGAGTTAAGGAAATTGATATAACTTTAATTCTAAGGTATACTCCAGATTCTCATAGATGCTTACAAAAAATAAATATACAACTGAATTACAATATATAAACATAAGAAATTAATAAGTTTTACTTTAGAAGAACAGAAATTGACAACCAAAAATATTGAGTTATGTCTAATTTTACACTTTTAACTTAACCAACAACAATCACAAGTTTTATATACACTAAAACCCCATACATTCATCTCTTACTATACCAGTTCTGTCAGGACAAGTTGATAATAGTAGGATTACTTGTGTGATGATACGACAGCTAACAAGAATAACCCATGAAGAAAAAAAACTTAACAGACAGCTTTATACAAAATCAAAACCCAGCAGTTTAAGTAAAATAATGAGTTACATTTAATCGAAATTTTTGAACTTAATAAAACTCAATAATAGTAACAATGGATTCATAATGAAGATAACTTGTTTAATAAACTACACAGTTAAGCATTAATTATGAGATGGTATTTGCAGGAAGAGAAAGCCATGTGAAATTCAAAAACCGTATTATAATTAGGAATTTTTATACTTTGCATACTAGTGGTCACAAAGAATGCATACAACCCTAATGGAACATTTGGGCAAAAAGCACCTTAAACAGTAAAGATTCAGTTCAAACAACACTTTAAAACCATTACTATTGACTGCTAAAGCTGTACACATATAAAAGTGCACCAAACAAGGATGCATGTTAAACTAACAAGGAAAAGAAAATAGCCTGTTTGTAATTCTTATTTTATTATTATTCTCTTGCCAACCTACAACAAAAATGGCTTGATATATTGATATATAAAGGTCTTAGGGGTATCGAAAAGTGAATTTGTTTCTTCTATATTTTACATAAGCTAAAAAAGCATCATAATTCTACTGTATATGATGTTATCATTACCCCTCAAAGTTAGCTTTTTTACAAATGTCTGGTGTTCCTTTAAAAAGCTTATGTACAATGTGAATCAGGAATTACCAGCCAATAATAAATGAACATGAGATGACTGTAATATGTAGATACTCAATGCTTTGTACACTATACAATCAGTATCTTTAGGGAGCCAACCCCTATATTATGTATGAAGTGAAGGAGGAAAAAAAAAACTATTACACACATTCATAGGATAATTACTTTAAAAGACAAGAAGGTTTATTTAAAGCAATGTTTTAGAGACATATATTTTATTTGAAAAGGCTGCTTTTCTACTGGTAAAATTTTATACACGCTTATTGGGGTAATGTCTTAGTCTTGGCATATATTTGCCCATTGCTATGCATTATATATATGGAGAATAAATGCTCACTATATTCTCAAACAAATCTCCATGACAACTTCCAGCTGCAGCTTACATTTTAAATTTTTAACTAATGTGATCAAATAGTCAATAGGTACAGTAAATCATCATGAATTGTATCAGCTAGCTATGTTTATTATCATTACACTGTATATAGTTAGTTACCATGTCAAGTAACCCTTTGCCCATAGTTGAGCATAAATAAACGCCAGCAAACACGATATATAAAAATTGGGAATTTAAAGACCTGCAAATAGGGATAAAAAAAAGTAAGGAAACAAGGCTGAGATACTGTAGACTTTATTTACTCAAACTATTAATCCCCATTTTAGCTCCACTAAATGTAATTCTAGGTAACAGCATGGAGCAAACACGATATATGAAAATTGGGAATTTAAAGACCTGCAAATAGGGATAAAAAAAAAGTAAGGAAACAAGGCTGAGATACTGTAGACTTTATTTACTCAAACTATTAATCCCCATTTTAGCTCCACTAAATGTAATTCTAGGTAACAGCATGGAGCAAACACGATATATGAAAATTGGGAATTTAAAGACCTGCAAATAGGGATAAAAAAAAAGTAAGGAAACAAGGCTGAGATACTGTAGACTTTATTTACTCAAACTATTAATC